TCCCATTATTCACGTTTCACTTAATAAACATAGTTGTATACTTGCACGTATCTGAACACATACGCACACACTTATATGTCATGAAGAAAATGCCAAAGCCATTTTCATACCCACCTGTCCACAATCACAGGAGATTTGGTGGATTCTTTAGCTATTTCAGAAGCCACGATGTAATTGCCCAAAGAGTAAAAGGCTCTTCTAATGATAGTTGGTTCGTCATCAAAGAGTTTCCTCCACTGGCTGATGCAAGCGGGTGGGGACTTTAAGAGGACAGCCTTGAGGGACTCTGCAACCGACTGAGTCACTGTGGTCTTACCTGCAGGTCACAGAGAAAATACAGCACGTCCTCATCCCTGCCACCACACCACTCCCAACTGCTAATATTAACTCAGAATGAGCAATGACATTCTCTCGACCTGTAAATCAAAGGAGTCGATTAAATAATGTGATTCTCTACATACATGTAAGATCCTTGGAAACTTCGGGCTCTCTGGTATTAGAACACTTGAGGGAAAAGCACACATCTTGTTGACACATCAATGGTAAACTTCGATGCGGAGGCCCCGTTATCAGCTCTGCCTCGCTCCATGTGACACTCTTCAGCTGACACGGGAAGGAGCCACGGGATGCTTGTCCCCGAGACGGACCTTGCCCTTGGGCGTCTCCTGCTGCCCCTAGGCCACCCTCCTCCTGCTTCCGAGTCTGGGGCTAAGTGCAGGTGCATCCACCAACTTTGACATCTATTTGGCAGCTCTCGAGGCATCTTCCCTCCACGTCCTACTTCTTCTGCCTTTTACTCCCCAACGGGCCTCTGTGGTCCCGGGCCACCCCGCTGGCTCGAGTCTCACGCCTTCGCCCATGCTGCTCGTGCCTGCCTGCCCGGAGGACCTCGCCCTTGTTCCTCACCTAAGCTGCTGCCATGGGGCCTGAAAACACAAGCCAGGTGTCAACCCTTCCAAGCTCTCCCTGACCAGGACCCCGGCCCCTTGTCTCCCACGCCGAGGCTGCATCCAGAGCCTTCTGGGGTTTGGCTGAGGCTCGGTACCCCCACCTCTTCAGTGGCCTCACACAGAAGGGCTTATGTGTCTCTGTGTCCCAGGCCTGCCCGGCTCCAGGCCAGTACACACTGACGGTTTATGATCTGAACTCTGTACAAAGTTCTGTCATGACCTGTCTATTTCTTCAACTGACCTCTTAACTCACTGCTGTAACCAAAAGGTAATATGCTCTTACCGGTGGCATCCAGTCCTTCGATGACGATCACCGGGAACTTTCCTTTCTGGGCCTGTTCGGGGCACTGGTCGACCAGGTCAAGCACAGCTCGGGCTTCGGGAATGAAGGGCGTACACTGTAAAACAGCGTCCGGGCATCAGCAGTGAGGCACCCAAGCTGTGCAGCAGCCGCATCTAATCGCTGAGAGCAAGCTCGTCTAACGCGAACACGTTATGTTTGGCACCACGCCCAAACTCAAAGTATTTTGAACCTGATAAGGCCTGGGTTGCTAATTTATGCTGTGTGGCTGCAGCTCAAAGAGGCAGTAATCGTCAGGATCCCCCGGCCTGCAGCCTTACTGACCCGCTCCCCGCAAAGGAGGAAGGACAGGAATGACACGCAATTGCAGAGCACGTGACACAGCAACGTGGAACCACAGGGCCGGCCTGGAACAGTGTGTCCAGTGCGGGAAGTCAGCTACATGGCAGGCCCCACAGACGGCAGCCAGCGTCACCTTCCCTCACTGCTCGGAGGCAGAGAGCGCGGAGGCTGCCGTCACGGACGGAGCAGAACGGGGTGTTTCGGGGGGTCTCGAAGTTCTCGCTGTCACCTCACTGCACAGCCCAGGCACCTCAGCCGGGAGGCCGGAGCCTGGTTCACGTGCTTCGCTCTGAGCAGGCGATATTCTAAGTGCTTACGGCGTTAACGTGGCCAGTCGCCATCGTGACGCTGAGGGGGATGCCCACCTACCGTTAAGGAAGCTGACACAAAGCACGCTTAAGAAACTTGCTGAAGGTGATGCCGGTAATAAACGCCAGAGTTTGGATTTGCAGCCCAAGCTGCTGGCTGGCTGGCCCTGCACGATTCCGGTCCCCAAAGTTCTCCCATAGGCTTGAAAGTTAACCTAGGACCCATGTGCAGCCCCTGGAGGCCACCTCTGGACACCCCCTCCCTGCCTGGAGAGTCCCAGCTCCCCATTCCCAGCACCTGCTATGTATCAGGTGTCCCCTTGACCTTCATTCACAACACTTACAGGTACTTCACATATGAAAGCGGGAAAACCAAACAGCTTGGCGGAGTGACTCAGGTCTGTGGCCCAGCAGGTAGCCCTGCGTGGCTAAGCTCCTTAAACCTCCAAGCTCACTCCCTTGCCAGCCCCAAGCCCCAGGAATGGCGGGATCACTTCCGACCTGGCATCCTCACCCCCGCCCCACACCGCACCCAGAGGCCCCTTGCCTCCGGGGTCACCTGCGGCACGCATTCACAGCAGCCACCGCACTGCTGGGCGCGAGGGTATCAGCGTCCCGCGTCAGGATGGAAGGGCCCGGCCGCAGGACCTTGGAAAGGGCCAGGGAGCGCAGACAGCCTGGCAGCCCCCGCCTCGTCCCCGGGGCTCTGACCCTTCCTGGGGCAGGGTGTCTGACCCTTCCTGGGGCAGGGTGTCTGTCCACCCTGTGTGCTCGGGAGCTCTTACCGCCTCCAGGACCGCACGGGCGGCTTCGCGGTCGGGGAAGACCCCAGAGCCGGGCAGGTCGGGCACCACGGGGTGCAGCGCGGGCTCCGGGGCGCGCACGACGGGCTCGGGGCCCACCTGCCGCCAGCCCCGGCCATCCTGCAGCTCCCACAGGAAGTGCCACAGCTCGTGGCGTGGGGTCCCCACGAACTCGCCCAGGCGCGGGCGCGGCGCCTCCACGTGCGAGTCCAGCAGCGCGAGCAGCGCGCGCCGGGTGTCGGGGCTGTCGCCGGGGTCGCGGAGCAGGACGCCGCGGTGCAC